AAGTAGGTAAATTAAGGTTTCACACAAATCTCACAATCGTATTCTCATACTATCCCAAAACGATATACCTTAACAATAAAGTGGTGCCAATAATTCGAGTCCCAAAAGTTCTTTCCCATTTGAGGTCACTCTTGTCCTTACATCATATACGAAAATAGAGGTAAGATTTAACCCACACTTAAATAATCCACACGAGATCTCATATTCCACACACAGGTTATATATATGCCTATACATGTATCTACTTCACATAAGACGAACCAAATAAGCACATAGTCACATAGAGCATATATGGGTCACTCTCCTAAATATTAACTCATCCCATGACGCTCAAAGACTTCAAAGTGGAAAAAGCATTGATCAAGTGTATTTTCAAAAGGATTTTGATGAATGCAATAGACGCAAGTTATATCGTAGAAGCTTAACCCCATACCCACATAGTCACACAAATACATAAAGCATACAAGGTAAACTAATGTCCCTTTCTAGCATGATAGAGCCATTGTGGCAAAAAGTCACATCCCGCGAGCTCAAGGTATTCTGACCTGGTTAGCTCTGATGCCAAGTTGTAACACTCTAAAAATTATCAACCAGTTTATAATTAAATCCATTAAATACTTTCCAACCACTACAATGAATATCATTAAAGAACGAATCTTTTACCCAAAATAATATCTTTATCAGTGTACTATTCCAAGTGAAATATACATCGTTGTTCATTAACATACAATCATGAATAATAACTATTCAAAGGGTAGGAGAATACAAAAGTAAAGTGTCCTAATGGCATACACATTTTCAAGAATAGTCCTTGATTACACAAAAATAGACATTTAGTCCCAAACCACAAATTAGTTTTGGAGCTTCAACAAGTAATATCCGGGGAGCCTTCGTGCTCTAGTCAAAACACATCCATCGACAAGTTACTTTAGCGAAATCACACCATCATTTCCGAAAATATTGTTAGTTTGGTGTGAGTTATTGGCCAGTAGAAAATAATATTAACAAGATATATAAATAATCAAGATGCATATGATCATGCCATGCACTTGATACAAAATCTATATTTTCTCTTTTAAAAACTAAAAATGTCAAATGCATGATTTCCATTCAAAGTTTGATTCGCAAACATGGGGTGGTAAATATGCTATGATGTCCTGAGTAAGAGCCACAAAACCATACTTACATATATAAATTTATATACAGAAAATACTCCACATTTGCTAGCTATTAATATGGCAAGGAATGGGAACCCAAAATCATTCGTTTTTCTACTTTTACCGACTACAATATGACAGGAAGTGGACACCCAAAAACAGTTTCCCACATTCGTCCGACGAAAAGCTCAAGACAGGGCAATTTGGCACCTTAACTTCCCGCGCGGGTACCAACAGAATACACAACCATTTCCCAAAATCCGACTCAATTACCCAAACTCATACACTATTTACCCCCCTTTCAATATTTTCCAAACATCTACAAGATTGTAAGGTCACAAGATAAAATCATAATGTACACGATGCATAGTTTTCAAATCCAAATTCCCTACGGTCTGTTCAATTCACAACAACATTTAATAATATCAACAACTAAAGAGTTTCTCCAATCTCATAATTTCCACAATCTTAACATCTACCAAACTCAATACATATATCCAAGAAAATTCAAAAAACCTGGTATCTCAACACTATTGTCAAAATTATTCACCAAATTTTAAGATTTAAGAGTCAATTTGTTCAAACCCATTATTAAATCAAAATTTGAAAACTAGGATTTTTTGAAAAATTGGGGTAGATCGCTCTAGCGGTGAACTTAAAGCTCGAGTGGTGAACTTAAACTCTTAGTATTTTAGTCTGCAAAATGAGATTTTGGAAACCCCTTCATGTTCGCTCAAGCAACCACTTGACCGTTCAGGCGATCCTTCGACCTGCAAGGCAACCTACTGGAAGCCTCTTTTCTTTGCTTGAGCAGTCTTTTCACCGCTCAAGTGCTCACCTGGGATGAATTTTCCCTTCATCATTCTTCCGTGTTTTGCATCCATTTCTCATGCATAAGACTTGGCTCATTTTGTCTTTTATTCCTTTACTTCTTATGTGATTATGTGCGCTACCCTATGTCTTGAGATGATTCATATATCATATGATTAGTAGCCAAATCTTTATTTTTATTTTTTTGTGTGTGTTGCATTAGTTTCTTTGCATCTAGGATTATACATATTTTTCTAACCCTTTTCGCTTGGCTTGGTGAGGATGAATACTAGGTCAACTTTTTTCATCTGTTGCATCCAGTTTGTGCACATTTTTCTTAGTATGTCTACCATACTACCACGTGACTACTTGCTTACTTGAGATATCTCTTTGATTGCTGGTGGATGAATGTCATTTCACTTAAGTTGGGATGATCTTGATTTTTGTGCATGTGAATTCATCTTTTCTTTTGAGTTGTACATTTTCAAACTCTTTTCTAAAAATGCATGAGATCAAAACATTCCAAAGTAAGTGCTTTAGTCTATATTTGTTTGCTTCACAAAGTAATTTTAGCATTAATAATCAGAACATGAACATATCTTGGTAATGAATCCCATATTGTGAATTAGTAGAGGCCAATTTATGATCGGGTGAGTAGTGGTACTCAATTCATGACTTTCGCCCCCTTATACCTAAGTTTTTGAGCCTAGACACTTTGGTTACGACGGATCATGGCCTTTGGGTATGAGTCACAGGTTTCCTAGTTTTCACCAAAAGATTAGGTAGCGACTCTGAGACTGGTGATGTAGTCTATTTTTGGCATCTCTTGCGATTGGTGAATTTTTCATAGATTTGCCAAATTCCGATTCTCATTCTATTTCACATTGCACTCATGAAACCAGACCGAAGGTTTGAACTGTTAGGCACACTCGAATACCCTTTGAGAGATCCCATGGTGATGGATACACTTTTGCTGATGGAGATCTGTAGTTCATAAAATAGATTTGTTTTCAAAGCTTCACATAGATGGGCTCTTGCTTTTAAATAATTTTTCTTCCTAACTCTTTCATAACAATTGATCATCAATTTTTTTAATAAATTAGAGATCTTCGGTTCCGTCAATAATGAAAATTGAAATTCATATGAAAATTTTTCCACGTATAGAATTTAATCACATAATTGGATACCATCCAGATGAAGCCCATTAAATATGTAAATCTCACCTTATATAAAAGAATTGTATTTAATTCTATAATTAAATTTTATGCAAAGTAAAAAAAGAAAAAAAAAACTAAATTAATATGACAATGTCACAATCTTAGGTGAAATGAAGTTAGTAGTCAAAAGAATATCAGGTCAACAATCAGCTAATGGCCACCTAGCCAAACTCTCTCTGATCTCATCCTTATCCTTTTTGGTGTAATTTATTTAAATTGTTTATAATTTATTTTATTCTGAAATTTGTGTCCAGACTATTTGATATAATTTTTTTCTTATAGTTTATGAGACAAAAATAATTTAAATAAGATGAAAAAAATAAATAAATTTGAAAGCTGGGATGAGTACTTTCGATTTGTGCTTCTAAATATCAATTTTTAACTCACAATAAGTTACGTCAAATAGGCGTAAATCATTATTCACCCAAACGATGTCCATAATGAATTTCATATCATCTAGACACAGAATGCAATACTGCTCCATCTATGTAAATCACAGTAAAGTACAAGTTCTATTTGGTTCAATTTCTACTGGACCTTGGTTCAAATGAAGGGGGTGTGGTGATTGGAATTGCTATTAGATTAAGGATAACCACAAATTTTACTGCAGAACTAGTGGCAATTTATGCTGAAAAGCTAGAGCAAAATATTTAGATGTTTCCAACTTGAATTCTTTCCCCAAAAAAATAACAAAAAAGATTTAAAAAAAAAAAAATTTGATTTATTCTTTTCTTTTCTTTTTTTTTTTTTTTTTTTTTTTTTTTTTTTTTTTTTGAGAAGGTATAATACAATTTATATTTCTATCCTAAAGGGAAGGGACTGGCAAGACTCAAAACTCAGTCCAGTTGTCTGGTGAAAAGGGCCTAACCACTTGGGCTATTCTTTGTCTCATGTACAATGAATTTCAACAAAAACTCAAACATCTGGGTTAATCAAATATGTTGAGGCTAATACAAGTTGTATTTTGAGTACTAATAAATTATTAAAAAAAAATACAATTCAGTGTGAAAACTAATTACACAAAAATGAGGGTGCAACTCTCCCTGTTCCAAACCACAAAAAAAAAAAAAAAAACTCTCAGAAAAATTACACCCCCACCCCCACCCCCGATAATTAGTTTTGATCTATTACACTAATTCCCCTAAATTATTGTCTGGCAAGCTGTCGACATAGCATTTCAAGATTGATGGCACCATTTACCTATAAAATGGCAAAAAATCCATAATTTGGGTAAATTACACTTCGCAATTCTATAACTACACCAAATCCCAATTTAATTCCTTAATTAAGTTCTTATACTTTCGTTCAAGTTGCAATGTTGTCCTTTCATTAGTCTAGTGTCATATTTGTTAACATAAATTATCATGTTACCTTCACATGAAGCATATTTCAGACAAAAATGTAATTTTCTATCTTTTTCTTATTCTTTTATATTTCTCCACCATATTTTCTCTTAGTACTGTATTTTTTAAACCAACCACCACTGACTAGAGAAGGCGTAGTTGATGCTGGTGGGCTTAGAAAATATAGTGAAGAAATAAAGAATAAGAAGAAAAATTAAGAAAATTATATTTTTGACGAAAAAATGCCTTACGTGAGTCACATGTCAATTGCCATTAGCAAATTTAACATCAAATTAATGGAAGAACTACATTACAACTTAACCTAAAGTATAAGTTAACTGTTAAAATTTAAAAAAGAAAAGAAAAAGAAACTGTTACAATTACAAAATGAGAGACTCAAAGTAGGATTCGGTGTAAAGTGTAGGGCATTAAGTGTAACATACTCCCTCAATTTTATCAATCAACATGTTACATGCTCATAAAATAAAGCCTCAAATTATATAGTACTATAGAGAAGTTCTGTACAATTCCAATGTATTAATTCTATATTGTGCAATATTTGATATTATACATTGTTGAAACATTTGAGAAATCTTTACTTCACTTTTATATACATCAAATTTTAATCCAACCACGGTCAGCTTGCCTATCTGAAAAAATAAAAAAACACGCTCGGCTCTATTTCCAAATTCAACTTGCCTTTGTGGATGGTTGTAAGGGTGTATAAAGAGGAAACCAAATTTGACAGACCGGCTAGAATAGGCAAACAATTGCTATGATCAACAATACAACTGAACATGCCATTGCCTGCAAAAACAACCATGTGTTGACCATAAAATGCTAGTCCAACTAATGTTTATACCATTTTAAGGTGAAAACAAAATAGAGGTTTACCTTTCTACTAAAAGCCGAGAGAGAGAGAGAGAGAGAGAGAGAGGTAATACTTACACAAATTGCAGAAGCAGCAAGGCCAGCTCGCTCTCTAGGGTCCTTTCGATAGTAGTTTCCAAAGTACAGAATTGCAGCATAGTACCACATAAGTGGGAACACAAAGCCTAACAGAAAACTGAAAAGAATAGATATATCCATTAGGTAAGGGAAAATGAGGAAAGATGGAGGAAGGAGTTAAGAATACTCACGAAAGCCATCCTATCCCACAACCAAAGCAAGGAAGGGGCTTGTCAAAAGTCCCTAGTTGGAAGTCATCTGCATCTCTAATAAGGGTATATTTGCCTTTCGGGTCTCCCATGTCTGTTGCTTGCCCTGCCAGTGCAAGAATAGTTCAGTATTCTCGGCATTTACTTAGTAAAAAGATCAGTTTCTGTAACAGTTCTCTTTTAACAGAAAGTAGCATCATATGGATCATATATATTAGTCAAAGCAAACTAAATGTGCCATCACTATCACAATCACAACCCATTATTCTGATGAAAGGCACACGAGTAAAGATGAAGCTTGATTAGCATGCAACAAGAACTTTGGGCCAGTTTGGTGTAGCTAAAATTGCAAACTGAAATTTGAATCAAAAAACAAAAGCTAAAAGTAACCGTTTCCCAACTTCCCAATAATCAACTTTTTTCAATTTATATAAGTTATTTTTGCCTCATAAGTTGTAAGCAGAAGCTGTTTAACATAGATTTCCAAAATAAAAATAAAAAAAAATAAAAAGAAGAAGCTATAAGCAGCTCCATCAGCTGCACCAAACAAGGCCTTTGTTTTCAGATGGTAACTGTGTGAATTTATGTGTGTGCTTATATAACTAGCCACTACTTCAGTATGGAGTAAAATCCAGACAACAATGACAAGGTGTCAAAGTTTTACTAAATCATAAACAATGGAAGGGGTATGTGTTAGAATAAGTAGTTCCAAAATAAATCCAAAAATCATTAAGATTCTTTCGATTGATATCCTCTATGCCGAAATCAATAAAAATGATACCAAGGGACTTCAAAGTCACTCAGACCCAGGTATGGCAGTCATGAAATGATGCCATGGCATTGGAAGTATACCAATCAATTTTTCCTCAATCAGTGATCCAGAAACAGAAAATGGATGTACATGTAATCAAAACTTGGGTGGTAGTTTAGGCATGACTTAAGCAAATAAGAGAAGGTCAATGTTTAATTTAATATAGAATAATAGAAAGTACAATGAATTTGCATGTAAGCATAAAAAAATGGGTAATTGCATATTAATCACATCCAAACAGTATCTACCTTTAAACAGTGAATTGTATCGAGCAGAAGGCCTCAAAAGATCGAAGTGCTTATCAGAAACTGATCTCACCAATTCAAGGCCATTTCTCAAACTTTCTCCCTCCTCGATTGTAGCATCTGTGACATGAAGAAGTTCCAATATATAGTCATTAAAAGGTCTAAGGCCATTTGTTAGTTGTATATTTCCCTCCTTTTCCTTCACTCTCCCCATAATTCTGCATGCATAACTTATCTTAAAAAGAGAACCAAATGTTCAATTGGGCATGGAACTTCTAAGTGGAGTAAAATATTGCCATATCCTCCTATAGTTACATACAAAATACTTGCAATAGACAAACATGTGCAAGTAATTTCAAGAACACGAAAATGCAATCCACACCATCTATCAATCTTGGAAGGGACTGATGAGCTCACAATAATTGTCTCCTTGTAAATACCAGCATTGTGTCCCTTAATCACAACAAAGATTGGAGTTGAATCATTCTCATAAAAGAATTAATAATATTTGTCTTTGACACAATATGTCAGGCATGAGACGACACAATATAAAAGATAAACATGAACCAGCATAAAATTTTCTGTGGAAGCCATATTAAGTTTTTGCATTTGCCTTTTTAACTGATATTGGTGCATTGTCAGACTATTAAACTAACAAGTGCAGTATCGTCCTAGTTGAAATACTTCATCATAGCATGATATTGAACAGTATAGTTGCTCGGTGTAACAATATATTGTGAGAATATATTGTGAAATATATTGTGAGTCCTACAAATTAACTTATTAGAGGCATGATTGTATTAGAGTTCTATTAAAGTCATGGTCGTATTGTATTTGTATTTCCTTTTTGGTTTAGGAGTTAGGGCTATATACATTCTAAGGTCTGATTGTAATTCATACACATTGAATATATGAGATACAGATAGCTATTCAAAAATCTTACATGGTATCAGAGCCTTGTTCGAAACCCTAAGTCCACGCCTGTTGTTCGAAGTTGTCGCCGATTGTTCGAAGTCGTCTCTGTTCTTTGGTCTTCTTCACAGTCGCGACTTAGGGTTCGTGGGTCTCTCTGGTTCGTTGGTCGCGTCTTCAGTCATCATTAGCAACTCGAGATCAGCTTCAGCCCGTGCTTCGTCGTGGCTCAATTCTGGTCCTTCTGGTTCGCGAACTCAATCCCTCTAGTTCGCAAATGTCATCACCGTGCTTCTGATTCAGGTCGCGATCGTCTTCCGCCGTCGTCCACAGCCATCGTGACTCCGTCCTGTCTTTTGAATCTTCTCTGGTTCGCAATCAGTCCCCTGTGATACATATAACTGATTTGTTGGTATTTACACTTTGACCCAAAATTTCATTGACTATTACACTTGGACTGGCTCACTCCCGTGTGTGTTCTAAGTACTGAGATAGTGGTTATAATTTGACCCCAAAATTCTATAACTTTGGTTCACTTTGATGTTGGATACCCACACGCTTCAATCTTTAACAAATCCCAAGAAAGGACCACTAGCTCCAGATGAGTGCGCCTTCTGCCATCAGAGGGGTCATTGGAAGTATCATTGTCCCAAGAAGGGATGTTTGTCTGCTTTGTCTGTGTTTGCCTCGTCTTCTCAGCAATTGCCGATTAAGTTCTGCGCTCTTCCTCTGAGTACCTTTCGGCCTCCCACCAATTCTACTGTATCTGCTCCAGCTCCCAATCCTGACTTAGCTTCCTTGACTGCTCAGATTAGTCAGTTTGAACATACATTGTGTACCTCCCAGCCATCTATGTCTGCCTCAATTATTTCTCCTCTTCATTCAGGTTTGCTTGGGTCTTCTTCAGGTATTTCTTCGTCTGTCTGGTTTTTTTACTCTGGTGCCTCTTATCATATGACTCTCCATCTCTCATTACTTCAAAATTGCACTCCTCCTTTTCCTATTACTGTCAATGCTGCTAATGGGCCTGGTATGTCTGTTATATCTGTTGGATCTGTCCTACCGTCAGCTATGTCTGTTGTCTCTATTCCATCTGTTCTTTATGTTCCTCAATTATCTGTCAGTTTATTATCTATCAGTCAACTTGACGCCTCTGGTTTTGATGTTATCTTTTCCTCTTCTATCTGTTCTGTGCAGGATCGGATGTCTAAACAGCAAATTGGGACTAGTTGTAGAGTTGGGAACCTTTATGTGGTAGAGAGCTTGCATCTGCCTCTGACAACCTCTCTGGCTGCCTTTTCTCTTTTCAGTTAGATTCTCTGTCCAGTCCTTTCTACTTGTGGCATTCTAAATTAGGGCATTTGTCTGCTGACCGCTTACGGTCTTTGGCTCAATCAGGTATCTTGGGAAAAGTTTCTCCTAGTGAACTTACTGAATGTTAGGGGTGTAAACTCGCCAAGATGACAGCCTTACCTTTTCGTAAAAGCACTTCTATATCTGATACACCATTTTCTTTAGTTCATACTGATGTTTGGGACCCTTCTTCTGTTCTCACCAAAGGAGGTTCTGCATACTATATGTCATTTATTGATGACTGCACCCGTTACACTTGGATTTATCTTATGACTCATAAGTCCGATTTCTATCAGATATACCGTACCTTTCAGTCTATGATTACTACACAGTTTGGGTCTACTATTAAAGTGTTACGGTCTGACTTGGGTGGGGAGTATTTTAAAACTGAGTTTTGTGAGTATTTGGCCAATTTGGGTACCATTCACCAAACTTCCTATACAGATACAACTGCCCAAAATGGTCGCGTTGAGCGTAAACACCGTCATCTCCTTGAGACAGCTAGGTCTCTTCTTCTCTCTGCCTCAGTTCTGGCTCCATTCTGGGAGGAGGCAGTTCTTACTGCTGCCTTTCTTCTCAATCGCATGCCTACTCCCATTCTTTCTGGTCGGTCTCCTTATGAGGCTTTGTTCTCCCAACTTCCTAACTACTCCCTCTTTCGTGTGTTTGGGTCTGCCTGTTTTGTCCTTCTTCCCCGCAAAGATAGGACCAAACTTAGTGCTCGGTCTGTCCTTTGTGTCTTTTTGGGTTATAGTCCTACTCAAAAAGGCTATCGGTGTTACGACCCTGTTTCCCGTCGTCTTTATGTCTCCCATCATGTTTCTTTTCTCGAACGTCTGCCTTACTTTCAGCTTCCTCCTGTTACTGCTCCAGTTTCCAAAGAGGATTTGGTTCACATTGACCCATTTCCTTCTAAGGTACCGTCTGATGAGTACATCTCCACAGTTCCTCCTGAGCTTGTTTCATCTTCTCCTCCTGCTTCACCTTTGGCTGCTTCTCTTCCTTAAGTTTGTTCTCCTTCTCCATTGTTAGTTTATTCTCGTCGCAAGGCTCTTCCTCCACCAGTTGTCTCTACATCTACTGCTGATCCTCCTGCTGCTCCGACTTTGATCTTGCTGCACACCGATATCCTACTCGAGCGCGTCATCCTCCAAACAGGTTAGGTTGGTCTAATACATGTTTTTCTGCTTCCTATCATACTTTTTTGTCTGCTATTCACTCTTTTTCAGAACCACAGTCTTACAAAGAGGCATGTCAGGACCCTTATTGGGTTCACGCTATGGAAGATGAGTTGTCTGCTCTACAGAAAACTAGTACTTGGGAGCTTGTTCCTTTGCCTGCTGGTTAGAACTTGGTTGGTTGTAAATGGGTCTACAAAGTCAAGACTCATTCTGATGGGTTTCTTGAGCGCTACAAAGCTTGTCTGGTTGCCAAAGGTTTCTCTCAGGAGTATGGTATTGATTATGAGGAAACATTTGCTCCTGTTGCCAAGATGACTACTGTCCGTACTTTGATCTCTGTCGCTGCTATTCGCTCTTGGCCTCTTTATCAGATGGATGTTAAGAATGCTTTTCTTAATGGCCATCTCACTGAGGAAGTTTACATGCGTCCTCCTCCTGGTCTTCCACATTCCTCTGGCCAAGTTTGTCGTCTTCGGCGTACTCTGTATGGTCTAAAGCAGTCTCCTCGTGCTTGGTATGATCACTTTCAGACTGCTGTTACCGAGCTTGGGTTTCATTCTTCTGCTTCCGACTCTGCTTTATTTTTGAGACATACATCGACTGGTTTTATTGCTCTCTTACTCTATGTAGATGATATGATCATCACTGGTTCTGACTCTTCTGCTATCTCTGAGGTCAAGTAGCATCTCTTCCGCACCTTCGAAATGAAAGATCTGGGTCCATTACGGTATTTTCTTGGTATTAAGGTTGCTTCTTCTCCAAAGGGCTATTTTCTATCTCAGGCTAAGTATGCTAATGAAGTCATTCACCGTGCTGGTCTTACCGATACTAAGGTTTCTGATACATCTATTGAGCTTAATGTGAAGCTTAATTCTACTGATGGTGTCCCTCTGGATGATCCTACTTTATATCGCGAGCTTATGGGTTGTTTAGTTTATCTGACTGTCACTCGCCCTGATCTTGCTTATGCTGTTCATGTGGTTAGTCAGTTCGTTTCTGCTCCTCGCTCTACCCATTGGGCTGTTTTGGTTCGCATTCTTCGCTATCTCAGGGGTACCATATTTCAAGGCTTACTATTGTCCTCTACTTCCTCTTTGGACTTGGTGGCCTGTGCTAACTCTGATTGGGCTGGTGATGTTATTGATCGCAAGTCTACGTCTGGTTTCTGTATGTTTTTTGGTGATTCCTTGATCTCTTGGAAAAGTAAGAAACAATTAGTCGTTGCCCGCTCTACTGTCGAAACTGAGTATCGTGCTATGGCTCATGCCATTGCTGAATCGTTTGACTTCGTTGTCTTTTGTCTGATTTGGGTGTCTCTCAGTCTTCTCCGACCTCTCTCTATTGTGACAACCGCAATGCTGTTCAGATTGCCCACATCTGCAGTCTGCCTCTATCTCGCTTCTTTTCATCCCTTCAGCTTCGCAACTTGCGGACTTCTTCACCAAGACTCACACTATTACTCGGTTTCAGTTTCTTCTTAGCAAACTCTCCGTGTTTTCTGCTAAAACACCTTGAGTTTGAGCGGAGGTGTGAGAATATATTGTGAAATATATCGTAAGTCTTACAAATTAACTTAGAGTCCTATTAGAGGCATGATTGTATTAGAGTCCTATTAGAGTCATGGTCATATTGTATTTGTATTTCCTTTTTGGTTTAGGAGTTAGGGCTATATATATTCTAAGGTCTGATTGTAATTGATACACATTGAATATATGAGATACAGAAATCTATTCAGAAATCTTACATATAGAAGGTAGAATAATAAAGATCTATGGACTCGGGTACGAGTATCTGGTGTAAGTGTGGGGGCATGTTCAAGCATCAAACCTTCATAAACTTGAATCTTACGATATTGGGATATGTATCCAAAAGTGGGATACGCATACGGTGTCAACATATGGTTGTTAGAATCGTACGATTCACGATTCGATTCAATATGAGTTTTAACAAAAACAATTTGAATCATGTTGTTGAATCAGAAATTGAGTGAATCGTACGATTCAATTTATGATTCATTGCAATTCAGTACTATTTCTATTTTTGTTTACATAACGCATGAAACAATGCCATTTTTCGCCAAACTAGAAGAGATTAATTAGTTATATTGATATACATGATTTTATATGTATATATATAATTTAGTGATATTGATAATTTACTTTATTTTAAATATTGCATGTATTTTTATAAGTATATAAATATATAGAATTATATATTATATCAAATAAAATGAATCTTACGATTCACGATTCACTATTCACTATTTTAGCAAAACTATTCACGATTTGACAACAATGCACATATATTGCGCTCCGTATAATATTCTTAGATAAGATATAAGTAAAAATGTACCTCAAATTAAATAGGATTTAGAAAATATATGAAATTTTTGTATCTCATGATGAGATTCTCATCCATGTGAGAAGCTTAAAATGTTTTTTACTAGCAAATATGAGTTTCTCCTTCTTCAAACATCGTACAAAATTAGAGGATCCAAGTGTCTAAATTGGGTACGTGTGTTGGACATGTATCTCACACCCTTACCCTTGCCATATTCGGTGGACACGGGTACTTTGGAAAAAAATAGTAAAGCTCATGTAACATAGATCAAAATATGGAAGAAAATTTATAACTGGCACACTCATGTTTGTTATCTCTTTCTACTAGTGGTTGGTTGAGAGAATATTCAAGTAACTTGCCCAAACAAGAATGCATGACCAAATATAGTTTAAAGGCAAAAATGAGAGGATACTTTTGTAATTTTCATTTATAAATTAGAATTGAATCACCTAGCAAATGCCTTTCTTTTTATATTGCAACCAAAGGGTTAATTCACTTATCTTCACAATCAAGAAACTGGAACGGCTGTTAAATGTAGTGGGATAAGAATCCTCTGGCTTCTCTATTCTTCAAGCTTATTATATTTGTATTATATATCTCATACTAGATGATGGTATACTTGATATACTTAGAGGAGTCGACATGAGAAGAAGCAGCAGCACAAAAAGAAATTGACAATATCAAAAAACAGTAAATTTATGTTTCTCTACTGAACACAAAACTAATTAGGTAAATAGAAATCAAGTTGATTACTTGGTTCCATGTGCAGTATTGCTAATGTGTCCAGAAGATTGAGGTCTTCAGTTATGCAATCACCCTCCAATCCAAATTACCTGCTTCAAATAATTAAAAAGAGTTTCCAATTTAATGTTATCCCGTTACCTCTAATATAGATTTCACTTAGGTATGCTATACCTGGTTGGCGTTAAACAAATGCAAATCAAATGGTGGAATCTTAAAACTAATTCTAGGGTCAAAAAGATTTAGATGTCAGCCAAAACCCTGTTGTTTATTTGCATGTGCATCATTTCCTGTGGAGTACACATCGATAAATCAAACAAATAATTTACTCAGATAAATTGACAGCAGAGTTGATCAGTCTTGCTAGGCTTACATATCATGAAATGATGAATGTGAAGTATATGCCTAACAAAGACCCAAATTTCAATTTCAGCTACTTAGCTCTTCCTACTCGTGCTTTTAATTGAGGCGTGGAAAATAAATGGTTTTCATTGATATGTTCTACTACCGGGAAAAAATAATTTCACTGATAGCCATGTAAAACTTGCCATAATCTCCTAACGTTCTCCATTCTTAATATCACACGAATAAGAGCATCTCCAATTGTATGCACAACCTCATACAAAAGCCAAAATTTGGGATTTAAGCATAGAAGAAGAACCACTCCAACTGTGTGCCAAAATATGGCATTGTAATATATTTGGGCACCAAGTGTAGCAAAATGCCAAATTTTAGCACATTTGATCAGTTGACATTTTGCCTAAAATTTACAAAGTTGTTATTTTTCCAATTTCAGAATTTACATTTAGACACGGACAAACACATTGTACGTACGGTGTAGATTGAATCATATGGTGGTTATACACACACACACACGCACAAAATTGACATTTATACCATGTGGCAATAACCATTGGAGATGCCACACTTGTGTGTAGATATCATATACCTGAGTGTGTGTCACTTCATCAAGACATTATGATTTGGGAATTAGGTGAAAAAAACTGAAATTCATTGAGAAGCTAGAAAATAGGCTAAATTTCATGTTCAAAGCCAATAAAATTCTTAACAAATCGCAAAAGAGAAAATTTAACTCAAAAGATCAATCTTACTATCAAAACTGAAACAACCCCAAGGCAAAGCAATTACCCATAGCAAAAACATCACATTCTACCCCAAAATAAAACACCCAACATTGAAATAAAATCTACAATGCACATATGTACACAAAAACACACACATAGAACCACAATCACCATATTGACAATAAATTTATAACTTGGAAGAGGCTAACAAAAAGCACAACTTGCCTTTGATGAATGAAATCGCAGATCAGAAGTTTTAGAGAGAGGGAATGAGGGAGATGTCTCAAGTAATTACATGACAAATAAGATTTCTTCTCGGCATTAAACTACTAAAGCTGAAGGACATTGACCCCCCCTCCCTCTCTCTAGTCGTCGTTTTCGTTTATAGGAATGTGAAAATGATTTATACTTATTGGTGTTTTTTATATAGTTTTTGTTGTTTCTTTCTTCTGCCCTTTTAACATCGAATGGCAGTGACTGATGAATCAATCGGCGATTAGATAATAAACTTAGGAGAAATTACAAGTCACGTAATTTGATTGGATTGGAGGATGGATGCTTTCAAAGTGTCAGCTGACTGATATTTTGGTGGTGTTTAGGAAAATAAAAAAATAAAAAATAAAAAATCGAATTTTATCTATTGTAACAAATTAATTTCCAAACACTATTTTTGTACAATTAAAAAACTCCCATTATTTTTTTCAATTTTTTTTTAGTGAATTTTTTTAGATTAAAGGGTATTCTCTCAGTTCTTGGAGAACCGTTCATTTTATAAAATCTTTCACATATATTATTTATTAAAAAAAAATTAAATCAATTCGATAATCGTAACTAATTCAATATATCGCGTTATTCGGATAACACCAATAGGTCATTCTTATTTTTTGATGACAAATATAATAATTATCATATCGATTTAATTTTTTTTTTTATCAATAATATAAACAAAAGATCTTATAAAATGAATAATTAAGATTATCGAGATCTTGTGTGAACTCTACATATTCAAACAATATCTTCTAATCCAAAATGCATGACTAGAGGCGAGCCTACTCTTCTTTTTCTTATATTTGTGGCAATAGTTTTCACTTTTTTAGTCTACGCAGTTTATAAAGGTTTAGGAAACCCCACAAAAAATTTAAAAAAAAAAAAATTAAAAATAAGTGAGATTTTTTTAATTTTTATTTTAAACTTTGGAGGTCCTTCTGTAGGACTCTACGTGATTTTTTTTTATTATTTATTTTTAGAGGTGAAGATAATCTAACAAAAAAATTATTAAAAATTAAACTTATAACTTAATTCAACACTTAAAATTTAATATATAATTTAAAAATTAAATAATTCCATTTAATAGCCACAATTATTGTTATTTAAAGTTTTTTTTTATTGCTCTTAAAATATAAGTTAGAGGTTAGGAAAAATTTAAGTAATTAAAATCTTGTGTAGTGCTAATTGAATTTATAATTACTTAGGGATAAATATTGATGAGCACTGTTGTGACACCTTGTTGATACTACCACCATCACCCCTATCATTGTCCAGCCTCAGATATTTGTCGGTGAAGAGAGATACGAGAGATATGCTTTTGCAGTTGGAGAGTCATTACAGTGAGGTGATTTTCTGGTACCTTGTTTCGTCCCTCCTTTTCTTTCTGCCATTTTTGTCGATTTATTTGGTATACAATGTTGTACTCCTTAGAAGAGTATCCCACAATGCCCATGTCCAAAAGAACAACTCTTAGAACTCCTCCAGTCTCTCCTCCAACTAGCCTGTCAGCCATACTACATACTTGTCGCAAGGGAGCTCCATGAAGATGGAAACCCTCACCTTCATGCCATGGTTCAATGCACGAAGAAGATCCAAACTTCCAACTCGAGATTTTTCGATCTCACTGGAACCAATAGGAGGATCTACCATCCGAATATAGAAAAACTCCACTCGTCAACAGCAAGTCGACAGTACATACAGAAAGAGGGCGAGTTCGTCGAATGGGGAGAATTTTCATCTAAGGGGAGAAGTCCTTCAAAAAACAGAGACGAACTCTGGAGGGGAATGCTTGGCGAAGCAGAAACGGAGGAACAATTCTTTGCTTTCTGTAAAGAAAGATGTCTCACCGATTACGTCACAAAATTCCCCCAATTAAAAACATTTTCCAGGGATCACTACAAAAGAGAGAGGCCCCCATATACTAGCCCTTTTAATTCATTTCCTTTTTTAAATGAAGAAGTAACAAAATAGGCAGAAAATAATATTTTGTTTGTAAGTCGAGATTTCGTTAAGTACGAGTTATGTCAAAATTGTTGCCTCTCCGTTTGGAGGGAAGACGACTTCCTTAGATTAGGGATACACGAAAACAAAATCAATAATTTATATACTGACGAAGAACTGTCCTCCTCCTCTGACAACAGGAACCAGAGTAGAGGCCCATCCGCCCAATCTCCCTCTACCTTGAAGGACCCTCAAGAACAGGCAAAACCACCTGGGCCAGAAGCCTCGGACGACACAATTACTTCTCCGGCAGAATAAGCTTCAAGGACTACGACTAAGACGCCGTCTACAACGTCACAGACGACATCAAATACTCGACAGTCCCTACCGAATTAATGAAGAATTTAGTAGGATGCCAGAGAGATTTTCATGTATTTGTTAAGTTCCAACCAGATCTCACTATTAGAGAAGGAATTCCTTGTATTTTATTAACAAATGGGGACAGTAGTTGGTTAGATGCAATGTCCCCTAAAATGAGAGAATGGTTTGATGTTAATGTAACCACTGTCATCATTAATGAAAAATTTTATTAATTTTATTTATGAAACCACTCAAAGTTTTATTTACTTAGTACATTTCCCTTATCATCAACTGTTACATCTTGAGTCACATCACTATTTTTTACACTGATGATTACATTTCGTAAAACATTAGAAAATTCTGCTGGATCCATAACAACTGATCCTTTACGATCAACTTCCTCTTTGCTAACACCAACCTCTGAAATTGACGGACCAGGATCAACATCACTGGTGTCATCACCACCTCTGCGTACATCCATCTCTGACAAACTCAGACAACCTCTGCGTTCATGAATAACTGAACCACTTTCCCCAAAACCTCCTAACAACAAATCTCTTCGCCTCTCCGGTAAACCAACAGACTTAGTCCGTGTCAGAATCGAAATGGCTTTCGTTGGAGGACAATGCCAAACATCAACATTATCATTAGTATATTTTTTAGATAACACAACAATAGAGTGGGCCCTCATTTGCGAATCTTCTGGCATGTCACTCGTACAATACTTCAGATACCCCTTCATTTTACAATACGTAACCCCCCTTTTAATATTGAAATTTTCAAGTCGATACTTCACCATCCATGGCACCTGTTTGTCGTTAATTGAACAATAACCATTCCCATAATAGACTAACAATCCACTGGGAAAATAAACCACGCCTGCAAACTGTCATTACCGTCTAACCTCCGATCATAAACATTTACTCTGACCAACCCACTAGCATTGGGTGCGCAAAGGGAGGAATATTTTATTAATATTTTATCAACCTTAATACTTTTTTGTTTGTATCTTAACCTCAATTGAGAAAATAAATTAGGCAACGCAAGTTCAATACAACTAAAATCACTTGCTGAAACACCTTCAACAACCCCAGTTTTTATATCGTTCACCTCCATTAACCTGAATATTAGAAATAAAAATACATCAAATTATAATTCTAAACAGTTTTAAAGTACATTTGACTCCTTAAAGTAATTTTGCATTCCTACCCACAATGCCCATGCCCAAAAGAACAACTCTTAGAACTCCTCCAGTCTCTCCTCCAACTTGTCTGTCAGCCATACTACATACTTGTCGCAAGGGAGCTCCATAAAGATGGAAACCCTCACCTTCATGCCATGGTTCAATGCACGAAGAAGATCCAAACTTCCAACTCGAGATTTTTCGATCTCACTGGAACCAATGGGAGGATCTACTATCCGAATATAGAAAAACTCCACTCGCCAACAGCAAGTCGACAGTACATACAGAAAGAGGGCGAGTTCGTCGAATGGGGAGAATTTTCATCTCAGGGGAGAAGTCCTTCGAAAAACAGAGACGAACTCTGGAGGGGAGTACTTGGCGAAGCAGAAACGGAGGAACAATTCTTTGCTCTCTGTAAAGAAAGATGTCTCACCGATAACGTCACAAAATTCCCCCAATTAAAAACATTTTCCAGGGATCACTACAAAAGAGGGAGGCCCCCATATACTAGCCCTTTTAATTCATTTCCTTTTTTAAATGAAGAAGTAAAAAAATAGGCAGAAAATAATATTTTGTTTGTAAGTCGAGATTTCGTTAAGTACGAGTTATGTCAAAATTGTTGCCTCTCCGTTTGGAGGGAAGACGATTTCCTTAGATTAGGGATACACAAAAATAATATAAACAATTTATATACTGACGAAGAACTCTCCTCCTCCTCTGATAACAGGAACCAGAGCAGAGGCCCATCCGCCTAATCTCCCTCTACCTCGAAGGACCCTCAAGAACAGGCAAAACCGCCTGGGCCAGAAGCCTCGGACGACACAATTACTTCTCCGGCAGAATAAGCTTCAAGGACTACGACCAAGACGCCGTCTACAACGTCATAGACGACATCAAATACTCGACAGTCCCTACCGAATTAATGAAGAATTTAGTAGGCTGCCAGAGAGATTTCCATGTATTTGTTAAGTTCCAACCAGATCTCACTATTAGAGGAGGAATTCCTTGTATTTTATTAACAAATGGGGACAGTAGTTGGTTAGATGCAATGTCCCCAAAAATGAGAGAATGGTTAGCTCAGCGAGCTAATGTGAAAGCTAGAAAATTAAATAATAATAAAAAAAGAGAGAAATTTCACTAACTTGAGAAGCCTGTCGCAGTTTTCAGCAACCCATCCAATTTGTTGTTTTTCGTTGTCATAAATCACCATTTTATCTTGTAGAGAAATATCTGTAGATAGAAAGCAAGAAAAAATAGATTAGCATGTTGAAAGAACTACAACCACTTATTTTTGTTCTTTTGTTCTCTTACCGCCAAGTATGTTGTTGTTTCCGAGCCCTACTTCACTGCCATTCAATATACCCAAGCAGGCATTCCCATGTTTCTGAAAGAGTGGAGCTCATCAAGTCTATTTTCCTCAATTTATTGTATTTCGTTTCCAAAATGCCATGAAACACGGACACAGACAAGGGACAAAGCAGGAATATGACAACAAAAAAATATGTTTTATAAATTTTTATTTGCTGTGTATAAATATTTATTTTTTAGATAACACAACAATAGAGGGGGCCCTCATTTGCGAATCTTCTGGCATGTCACTTGTAGAATACTTCAGATACCCCTTCATTTTACAATACGTAACCCCCCTTTTAATATTGGAATTTTCAAGTCGATACTTCACCATCCATGGCACCTGTTTGTCGTTAATTGAACAATAACCATTCCCATAATAGACTAACTCGCATTGACAATCTACTGGGAAAATAAACCATGCCTGCAAACTGTCATTACCGTCTAACCTCCGATCATAAACATTTACTCTGACCAACCCACTAGCATTGGGTGCGCAAATGGGGGAATATTTTATCAACCTTGATACTTTTTTGTTTGTATCTTAACCTCAATTGAGAAAATAAATCTGGCAAAGCAAGTTCAATACAACTGAAATCACTTGCTGAAACACCTTCAACAACCCCAGTTTTTATATCGTCCACCTCCATTAACCTGAACATTAAAAATAAAAATACATCAAATTACAATTCTAAACAGTTTTAAAGTACATTTGACTCCTTAAAGTAATTTTGCATTCCTTTCCACTAACAGTAGCAGCCACTAAATTTATGGTACCCTTTTGAATGCTTCCAACATTTCCCAACAGCGTATCTTTGTAGTCCGTCCAAACATCAACTGGGAAGAACCTGTCCACAACTTCTATCCCGTGACGAATGTACTCTTTGTCCTTGTCACCAACGAGCTTGAACCTCATTTTCTTTAGTATCCGAAACCGGTTGGACTGGTCAGGATCAACAATCCAGGTCTTAGGATTACCCTCGCCAACTCCAATAAATATCTTGTCAGGTGTAGGGACGGAATCTAACGGACTATTATCATTGATGACAAAAAATAACACGTGGTGGACCACAGCTTCGTCCTTAGCATCTTGTCCCAATTGAACATTACCAATGAATTTGATATCCTTAACCACGATCTTGTCTGATTGACGATCAGATCTCTTATTACCCAACTCAATACCATTAAGTAATCTCGCCACGCCTTTATTATCAAACTTAACGTCCCTTAATTGTTCATCGTATAGCTGTAATTTCCTTACTCCGCTTTTAGTCTTCTTAATAAATAGGGAAATATTCTGAACGTATCGTCTGCGAACATACTGGGTCTTAAAAGGTGCACGACTACGGTAACTAAGCCTATATCCACTGGCCGCCGGTGTCCTTGACCTCCAGTACGCAAGGGGGGTCCGGTAATGGCTGCTTCCTATTCCTTCCATTTTTAATAAATAACTCCAAATCTTTTATATAGTGGCTGCTACTGTTAGTGGAAAGGAATGCAAAATTACTTTAAGGAGTCAAATGTACTTTAAAACTGTTTAGAATTGTAATTTGATGTATTTTTATTTCTAATGTTCAGGTTAATGGAGGTGGACGATATAAAAACTGGGGTTGTTGAAGGTGTTTCAGCAAGTGATTTCAGTTGTATTGAACTTGCTTTGCCTAATTTATTTTCTCAATTGAGGTTAAGATACAAACAAAAAAGTATTAAGGTTGATAAAATATTGATAAAATATTCCCCCCTTTGCGCACCCAATGCTAGTGGGTTGGTCAGAGTAAATGTTTATGATCGGAGGTTAGACAGTAATGACAGTTTGCAGGCGTGGTTTATTTTCCCAGTAGATTGTCAATGCGAGTTAGTCTATTATGGGAATGGTTATTGTTCAATTAACGACAAACAGGTGTCATGGGTGAAATATCGACTTAAAAATTCCAATATTAAAAGGGGGGTTACGTATTGTAAAATGAAGGGGTATCTGAAGTATTGTACGAGTGACATGCCAAAAGATTCGCAAATGAGGGCCCCCTCTATTGTTGTGTTATCTAAAAAATATACTAATGATAATGTTGATGTTTGGCATTGTCCTCCAACGAAGGCCATTCTGATTCTGACACGGACTAAGTCTGTTGGTTTACCGGAGAGACGAAGAGATTTGTTGTTAGGAGGTTTTGGGGAAAGTGGTTCAGTTATTCATGAACGCAGAGGTCGTCTGAGTTTGTCAGAGATTGATGTACGCAGAGGTGGTGATGACACCAGTGATGTTGATCCTGGCCCGTCGATTTCAGAGGTTGGTGTTAGCAAAGATGAAGTTGATCGTAGAGGATCAATTATTATGGATCCAGCAGAATTTTCTAATGTTTACGAAATGTAATCATCAGTGTAAAAAATAGTGATGTGACTCAAGATGTAACAGTTGATGATAAGGGAAATGTACTAAGTAAATAAAACTTTGAGTGGTTTCATAAATAAACTTAATAAAATTTTTCATTAATCATGACAGTGGTTACATTAACATCAAACCATTCTCTCATTTTTGGGGACATTGAATCTAACCAACTACTGTCCCCATTAGTTAATAAAATACAAGGAATTCCTCCTCTAATAGTGAGATCTGGTTGGAACTTAACGAATACATGGAAATCTCTCTGGCATCCTACTAAATTCTTCATTAATTCGGTAGGTACTGTCGAGTATTTGATGTCGTCTATGACGTTGTAGACGGCGTCTTGGTCGTAGTCTTTGAAGCTTATTCTGCCGGAGAAGTAATTATGTCGTCCGAGACTTCTGGCCCAGGCGGTTTTGCCTATTCTTGAGGGTCCTTCGAGGTAGAGGGAGATTGAGCGGATGGGCCTCTGCTCTGGTTCCTGTTATCAGAGGAGGAGGATAGTTCTTCGTCAGTATATAAATTGATTATATTATTTTTGTGTATCCCTAATCTAAGGAAATCGTCTTCCCTCCAAACGGAGAGGCAACAATTTTGACATAACTCATACTTAACGAAATCTCGACTTACAAACAAAATATTATTTTCTGCCTATTTTTTTACTTCTTCATTTAAAACAGGAAATGAATTAAAAGGGCTAGTATATGGGGGTCTCTCTCTTTTGTAGTGATCCCTGGAAAATGTTTTTAATTGGGGGAATTTTGTGACGTAATCGGTGGGACATCTTTCTTTACAGAGAGCAAAGAATTGTTCCTCCGTTTCTGCTTCGCCAAGTATTCCCCTCCAGAGTTCGTCTCTGTTTTTCGAAGGACTTCTCCCCTTAGATGAGTTTATAGCATTGTACTTCCATCATTACCAATTTGAATATCTTTCACTCCATCATTACAAATTTGAATATCTTTCACTTGAACCTTTTGAACCTTTTGGCCTTTTGAACCTTATAGCCGTTTATAGCCGTTGTACTTCCATCATTACTAATTTGAATATCTTCCACTTGAACCTTTTGAACATTTTGGCCTGCTGCTGTACTAAACTGTTTGAACCTTTGTTTTAGGCTGTTTGAACTCCTGATTTAATAAAATATTAAATACATTCTAACAACATTTAGGATAAAGGTTTAGGTGAGAAATAATGGGACAAAATAAATTTTGATTCTATTTTTCTTTTTCAAATAAATCATTAAAATAAATTTTGATTAAAATATAATTAAATAAATCATCAAAATAAATTTTGGATTCTATTTTTCTCTTTCAAATAAATTAAAACATAATTAAATAAATCATCAAAATAAATAAGTCTAACAAAGATCTATTCCTAGATGATTAGGTCCAAGAAGACAAGAGCTCAACCTAAGTGAGCAAATCTCGGATTCCAAATCTCGGATCCCAAATCCTAGAAGACAAGATCTCGGTCTAGATGAGTAGGTCCGAAAAGACAAGAGCTCAGCCTAAGTGAGCAGATCCCGGATTCCAGATCCCAAAAGCCAAGATCTCAGCCTAGATGAGTAGGTCCAAGAAAACAAGAGCTTAGCCTAATTGAGAAGATCTCAAATTCCAGATCCTGGATCCCAGATCCTATAAGACAAGATCTCGGCCTAGATGATTAGGTCTGAGAAGACAAGAGCTCAGCCTAAGTGAGCAGATCTCGGATTCCAGATCTCCGATCCCAGATCCTAGAAGACAAGATCTTTGCCTAGATGAGTAAGTCCAAGAAGACAAGAGCTCAGCCTAAATGAGCAAATCCCAGACCCCAGAAAACAAAAAAGAAGCACACAAGATCAGACTGAAATCGGTCAGGTTCTTTCTGTCGGTAGAAGGCCATCTGTATAGAAGGACTTTTACTGGACCTCTATTGCGATGTATACATCTTTCCCAGGTTGAAGACCTTTTACACGAGATCCATGCAGGGGACAAATCCCTTGCCCACAGAGCTATATCATAGGGATTCTGGTGACCTTACATGCAAAAGGATGTCGAAGCCTATGTAAAAAAAGCATGAAAATGTTGTTGGAATTCATGATTGTGCAATAAGACCGAAATGTCTTATGGCGATGTTCCCATGGTGAACATGACGAGTAACTTAGACTTATCATATGGTAAAGTTGAATTATACTTGCATATGATAGAGTTGAACTAAGTTGGCGATATTTTTGAATGAAACATAATGAGTAACTTAGACTTATTATATGACAGAGTTGAATTATACTTGCATATGATAGAGTTGAACTAAGTTGGCGATGTTTCTGAATGAAACATGACGAATAACTTAGACTTATTATATGGCAGAGTTGAATTATACTTTTATATGATAGAGTTGAACTAAGTTGGCGATGTTTTTAAATGAAACGTGACAAATAACTTAGACTTATTATATGGCAGAGTTGAATTATACTTGCATATAATAGAGTTGAACTAAGTTGGTGATACGTCTGAATGAAACATGTCGAATAACTTAGACTTATTATATGGTAGAGTTGAATTATACTTGCATATAATAGAGTTGAACTAAGTTGACGATGTTTCTGAATGAAACATAACGAATAACTTAGACTTATTATATGACAGAGTTGAATTATACTTGCATATAATAAGGTTGAACTAAGTTGGCGATGTTTCTGAATGAAACATGACGAATAACTTAAACTTATTATATGGCAAAGTTGAATTATACTTGCATATAATAGAGTTGAACTAAGTTGGTGATGTTTCTGAATGAAACATGACGAATAACTTAGACTTA